TTGATTTTACCAATTTGAATTAACTAATTATTTTTTACCTTTTTGGACAACAATAAAGAAAAAGGATATTCTTAAAAAATAATAGAAATAAAAAATGACCAAAATACAAAATTAGAATAGTTACACAAAATAATTGTTGTTTTCGGAAATTTTAATGATAAGTAGTAAAGTACTGTTACTTTTAGTGTTTGGTTTTAAATTATAGGTTTGTGCCATTACAAATTGTCCAATTTTAAAAATTAAATATTTTTATTAAATAAAAATATTTGAAAAAAAAATAGTTTGTCTATCATTTTTTAGTTGCAATATCCAATGAAAAATACTAAATGAAATTTCTAACTTTGATGTTAAGATAAACTAAATTAAGAAAAGAGGGTAAATATTAAATTACTTTTGTTGAATCAAACTAGAGTTAGCAATTTTTGCTTCCATAACAGTCATCTCATTCATTTCTATATTTCTGTTTGGAATAGCTACGAGTCTAAATTCATTGATGTTGGTTTCTTTCTTTATCAATGCATAAATTTGGGAAACAGTCCAATCTTGATTAACTTTGAAAACTTTTTGTTTTCCATCAATAAATCTAACTTTAATATTTGTAGTTGGTTTTGATATGTCTAAAGTTGGGATAGATCCAGTAACTTTGAAATTAGTAGCATTTGACTTTCCAATACTGTTTCCAGTGCCAGTAAAACTAATTGAATGGGTTGTGGCTGTAGAGGTGTGACCAGAGAATATAGTTTGTGTTGAATTAGTTAAATTAATAGCGATATTATTGTGCTGTGCTTGTTGAATGTATTCTTGTGGAATAAAACCATTTGTAACATCATCTATGAATTGTTTATTGTTTGGATCTTCATAATTTCGCAATGGTCCATCATTAACAATAAATCCATTTTTGTACATTACAACATTTAAAATTAAATCTTTTTTTCTTGGGTCATGACTTGAATTGCCATTATTTGTGCTTGCGGTTTTTTCTGCAGTTCTATAAGCTTCATTTGCATCGTCATTTGCATAAAACTCAACTCCACCTTTTTCTCCTCCATTGAAGAAGCCTTGTCCTTTTGGTTTATCTTCTTTTTTTAAATCTGAAAAACCATGAATAGTTGACATATTTCACTATATATTATTTTTTAGTTTTTTAATTATTTTTTATTTTTTTATTTTTTTGACTTTCCATTTAAAAAAAAAATGATGTATTTAATCTTGCAAAAGTTATTTACAAGATGAGTTATAAAAAGATATTAGTGAATTAAGAATTACAATTATTTCTTTGTTTTATCTTCTGGTTGAGGTTCTTTTAAGAAGCACTCTGAAGGTATATTTTTACTTTTTAGTTTAAGCTTTTCGCATCCATAAAAACAATATTTTTCATAAGTCATAGTCTTATTCTTAGTTTTCAATGTTTTCAATAAAGGACATTGATAAAAACATGACATTGGAATATTAATAATGGTTGATGGTAATGAAACACACGTTAATGAACAACAATTCTTAAAACAAGACTGTCCTAATTTCGTTACACTCTTAGGCACTGTAATAGATTTTACACGAAAATCTCCTAAAAAACAACTCTCTCCAACTTCTTTCACTCCTTTTGGAATATTTTCGCCAAATACCTTTCGGTCTTCTTCTGTATAGGTTACATTAGTACATGGAATACCTCCTCTTTCAATAAGTACAGCTAATGAATATGAAACCAATCCATCAAATTGAGTGCAATCAGTTAATACGATTGACTTAATCATTTGAATGTTTTCAAATATTGATTTGTCAATCTTAGGAAAATTACCAGGTAATGTTAATGCAGTTATGTATGAACATCCACTAAAAGCATGGTCATAACAACTGATTGTTGAAGGTAAAGAGATTTGTTTTAATCCTTTACAACCATTAAAACAATGAGAGCCAATATGTTGAACTGTGCTGGGAACTTCAATTGATGTTAGTGATAAACAAGAAGCAAAGCATTTATCAGCCAAAGAATTACATATAGCAGGTATCTTATTCCCATATTTTCTTCTATCCTCAGAAGAATAAAACACATCATTACATTGAATATTATTTTTTTCTAAGAATAAATAAATACCATATGAAGCTTTTCCCTTAAAACAATTGCTTGTTCCTAGTTTGATTGAAGTTAAATTATTGCATGCAAGAAAACAGTTCTCTCCAATAACCATAAGATTTTCTGGTAATGTGAGACTAGTTAAGGAAGTGCAATTAGCAAATCCATTTCTTCCAATAGCTGTAACTGATGTTGGTATATTAAGACTTACAATTTTATTACATTCCTCAAAACATTTATCGGCAATTTTTGTAATTCCATCAGGAAGAATACCTTCTCCTTTCATACACTCATAATTAACTCTATCTTCTGAAGAATATACAATTTTTCTCGCACTAACCTTATCTCTTATTGCAAAATATTTTAAATAATAATGAAAATATGTTTCAGGATATTCTACTTCATACTTTCTCATTTTAGGAATTTGAATATCATTCCATGCATATAATTTTTGAACTTTTAAATTAGGAAATAATGAAATGGTTGTTAAGTCAATGCTAATAGGATTGTAATTATAACGTGTTGGAATATCTTTGAATTTCCTTGATATTTGAATAGATTTTATAAAATCTTCTTTCTTGACAAAACAATCTAATACCCTCATGAATTCCTCAATTGTTAACTTTACTTTACGTTTAGGTACTTCAGTTATTATATCTTTTGTCTTTTCTTTGTCTTTTCCCATCTCTTCGTGATTTTTTGAGATTCTTTTTTTTTTCTTTTTCATTTACTCTTCGATAGTAATTCTATTTTTATTAGAATATAAAATTACGTTTATTGTTCAATTCTTTTCAATATTTTTTTCGGAGGTTTTAAATTTAGAAAAGCTTCTTTTAAGATATGTTTTTAAATTTTTATCAATTTTATATTTTTATATAAATGTTGTATTAGATGATAACCCAGAAATGAACAATACATAATTTACTTTTTTAATTATTGTAATTTTAGACTTTCTAATTTTCTTTCAAACAAAAACACATTCTAATAAAACTTCTATTCCCTTTTCCTTTCTTTTCTTTATATCAAAAACAATCTTTTTTACTGGCTATTTATACCTAAAATTTTATAACCATTCATTTCAAAAATATATGGTTCATTCTATATGTGTTATTCACTTCAACTAAAAGAAAAAAAATATGATCTGAATCAATTTAAATATTATACCAATATATATTATAAAAAAATTTATAATACTGACATTTATCTTCAAATTATGGTATAGTTGTTTTGATATTATTATTATATAAATTATTTACAAATTATTATTAAAATAACTATGTTGTTAAGTATTATGTCATAGATACAATAATAAAAGAATATGTTTATTGTATCTTCTAATTATACTATTTTATTCAAAAAGAATAATAATATTATTATTACATTCATTTAGTATCTCTCTTAAATAAAACTATATTAAATAATATTAACTATTTATTCAACTATATATTATTAAGAACTTCCTTATTCTATAAACTATTTTTAAAAAGTAGATAAAGAGTTAAATTATTTTTCTGTAATAATGAATATTAAATATACTATAATTCAAATACCAAATGTTAATAAACCATTGCTGATATTTTACTTTATAATACAAGAATTTATGAATAACTTGTGTTTGAAATGAAAACAACAAATCTTAACGTTTTGAAATTACAAATTTTGTAACATTTATCCAACAAAACAATATATTCAAATAAGGTATTCTCAATACCAAAGTAAAAGTAATACACTAAACACAAATAAACTACCGTTATAACATAATTTAATAATAAAATAATATAGAATAATAAATTTATATAATATTTAAAGTTATTCATTAAGGAGTTAATAGTATTTTTTGTTCAAGAATCTTTCGTTCATATTGTTATATTCTAATACTTATTTTTGCTATCAATTTACATCCAACCAAAAATATTTTTATGAATTATTTATGTTATATAAATTCTAAATATAGCTAATGACAACTTCTTTTTTTTAAAGATTTCTGAGAAATAATGATAGTGTTAAGTTATTAAAAAATTTGGTGTTGATAAACAACTACATCTATTTCTTAAATAACTATACAAATTGTTACACCTTAATAGCTTATTTATTTTTTCTGTAAAATAATTTAAAGTATTTAAATTAAAAAATATTACATAATAAACTCATTAAAAGATATATTCTCTTTTTAAGAATATTTTCAAAGTTAAAATAGCATCATCATAACACTTTCAACATAATATTTTATTTTTTGAATAATACTGTCTAGAAAAATAAATTAAGAAAAATCCTTAAAGTAATAATATATTTAAAAATACATAATAAATTCTATTTTTACAACAAAAAATTTATATTCCAACTCTATTCAAGATTTTCATCAAAATATCTTTTAAAATTAAACAGCATTTTTCCACTCGCTAAAAAGTATGACAATAATTTAATAAAGAAAAATTAATAGAAGAAAATAAGTTAAAGAACAATTACAAGATAAATAAGTTACTTTTTGTTTCATAAACTAAATAAAAAAAAAGAATTTTAGTAAATTTAATTAAGTTTCTTGAGATTAAATTCTTTATCAATTGGCTCGATCATCTGTTCTAATGGAGAGATATCTTCTTTAGACAATAAGTCATATTCTCTGCAAAAAACATAGAAATGTCTAAAGCCTAAATAAGCTTGATCACTTAATTCCAATTCTTTTAAGTGATTAGCATGACTATAGAACATATGTGCATATACTCTGAATAATCGTTTAAATATTTTTGTTAAAGTAGGCATAAACGCTTTAGGTGCTTTAGAAGTAAACTCGGCAGGGAATATTTTAGTATCATCAAAACAAGTTTGAACCCACTCAAATAGTTTTTCACAATATTCCCGAGCAGGTAATTGAACTGACTTTTTATTTTCTATCCAAAGATATTCCATATTAGGTCCTCCATTCATAATTGGACATGCATTTGGAGAACATAAATCAGATACTGCTGAATATATTAACAGTATGTTATTAAAAAAATCAAAACAATTAACTGCTAACCATTCATTTTGATTTCCATTTGCTGGACATTTAACAGAATCTTTTAATGTTCCTTTTGAAATCCCTTCTTTAATTGTTTTATGAAGGTCATATCGTAAAGTACCCTTTGGCACTTTTTTCTTTGGTCTCATTGTTTGCATTTTCTTTGCTTTAAACATTCCTTAAGAATAAAACTAAATACTATTTTTAAGTTTTCATACCTTTTGTAGTTCCTTCTTATTTTTCTTAATTTTTTTCCATTCTAAAAAAATTAATATGAATAAAAATAAAATTATAACTTTTAAAATTATATTCGTGATATGTGGGAACTGAATGTTTATCTTAATGGAGCACAATATGTTATTGCACCAATAGTGTATACTTTTTCTTTTATTGGTGTATTAACTTTTTTCTGTCATAAATGTAATAAACAATATGTTACTTTCCCTTATGTTGTTATAACGTTGTCTTATTTAATTCAAACATTATGTTAGTTGTTATATTTATACATTACATTGATAATTATATTCATATTAACATAATAGCATTCTCAACTTCACATGTTATGCAATTGTATTCATCAACAACATGTGTTGCATACTTTCTTTCACGAGTTGTGTATATATGTAATTTTTTTATTGTAAGTTATACACTGTTTCATTGGGTTAAAGATTTCACAGAGCGTGAAGTACGTGTAATCAATCTTACTGTTGTTGGAATGGGAATTTTAATACTTAACATCTGGTTTATTGTTATTGTAATAGCAGCATTTATAGCACTATTTATTGAAGGTAATGACTGTGTATCAAATAATGGAAATATAGAAACATGGAATACTTGGATTTCAACAGGATGTTTGTTTATTTCTGTATAATAGACAAAATATAATAAATATTTATATCTATATAGCAAATATGTTATTAACTATTATTGTATTGGCTTTTGGAATATTAATCATTCAAAGATATCATAATCAAATCTCACATTTTACTTCACCAGATTCAAAAAAATCTTTTCTAATATATATATTTGCTTTACTCCTTCTTATCA